ATTACCGGACTCGAAACGGACTCGGACTCGGTCCTTAATGTTAGGGACTCGGACTCGGACTCGGAATAAATTTTTGAGGACTCGGACTCGGCTCGGACTCGGTCCCTCCCGGACTCGCCCATGCCTGCAACAACCGCTCTCACTTTTATTTTGAGATTAAATTCCAGTTATATGTCGAGCTGTAATTGAGAAATACATAAGAGAATCTAGAGAAGTCTAAGATTGAAGCTGTATTAGAACTACCAATCAAAATTTTTCTAAAGTTCAAAAGGCCGTTATCATAATATAATTCCATGACGAGTAAAGAAGAATTCGAGAAAGCAAGAGCGTGTGTACAAATAAAATTGCTGTGTACTTATTTTAAGCTCAACTTCGAAGCGAGTTTGAGGTGAATGATTCACCTTGATTGCATTATGTTCCCGAAGAGAAAACCGGGTAAAACATAGCGAAATCAGTTTCTTAACTACCTTAGAAACAAACTAAAGAATAGAAACCAGTAGTAAGTGTGAAAAATAGATTTCGGAGAATAAACGACTGATTGAAATTTGCCATGTAAATAAAAGACTCAATTAACGAAAGTTATGAATATTTAAAACAATATTCCGTTATTTTCACTACAAGACTTTCTTACAATTTAATTCAAATTACAAATTTCGTCACAATGTTGCTATTATCTTGTCGCGATCCTGACCTGATCTTATCGAGATTTGAATCCTGCCGGGACTCTCGCGGGATATTTTTCAATTTATTTTAGATTTTTCGAGATTTTACTGGGACTCCCGTCGAATTTTAAAAAAAGTCCAGGGGCTTTGGCCGGAAGTGTCGACTAGCGTGAGCTTTATTTTTTTCTTCACGTTGCTATGTCTCTCTTTCGAATCTTTCTAAAACCGTCGAATGAACATGTAGTACTAGTTTTCGAAATTAAAAATCCATTTTTTAATATTAAGAACGAAATGGACCGTACTTATTTTAAACAATCATATAGTTTGTTCCTTTTTTTCATCCTCTTCGGTAATTAACTGACACTCAAGTTGAGCGAATAGTTATTGTGCTGAAATGTTCTTCTCAGTCATTTTGCAACTGTCATTAAATACATACCGTCAGACCAAACTGACTACATAAGTATAAACGACCAATAATAATTTTGATTAGAAAATTAAAGACGTCAATTAGGAAACTAATTTTCCATATCATAATGAACTCAAAACACTCTTTCTTCAATTGTTTAGTTAATGAGGGAAACAAAGGATCAAACAATAAACAATATTTAATATACTATAAAAGATTTGTCTATAATTCGAAAGGTTGGCAAAAAGACATTCAGCTTTCTAAAAACGACAAGGTGCTTCTTTCAAATAAGCGACAATAAAAGAAAATTGTCTCTAAAAATCGATGCGTAATGTTATCACCTTAACAATAGTACAAAAATTATTTACACATTTAAAAGTCTTAACTTGTATAGTGTAGTTCGTTAGTCCCATCGTGAAGTTGTAATTGAAAATGTTTTACAAAAATTTGGAGTCTACAAGAGAGTGTGTGGTACCTTCGTATGATAAATCGAGCCCAAATCTTAACCATTCTGGTTAAGATTTTGACTCGATTAACCAAATCTCTGAGAAAAATCATTGGAAAGTTTCGAAAATGATCTCGTTACGACGAGAACTTTGTTCTACCAGACGATGTGTAAGAAAAGCTTTTAAAGACACCGGAAAGGAGGAAAAAATGAACAAAACTCCAAAAATTGAATTTTTCAGTCTCTTGAACAAAAGCTTGAAAAATCAATAACTTCCGCAAAAATAGTTGTCGAAAGCTGGAAGCAATATTATTTTGTAGCCTAGATTTTCATATACATTGGCCTATGTTCAACTCAAAATCAAAAACTTTTATCGAAAAAGGGGATTTAGAAGTACAAAGAAAAGAAACATACAGAGTGGCCAAGTGAATGCTGACAGACTTTCGCTGAAAATAAAAACTGTTCGAAGTTTTCAGGTTCTCAAATGGCTATTGTAGTAATTGACTGATGAACTATATAGTAAGTTAAGACTTTCAAGTGTATAAATACTTTCTGTACTTCTACAACGGTAAAAAGTATTTTTGTACCATCTCTCCGAATTATAAAATTTTATCGTTTATATATGATCAATCTTTTCAATTATCGGATATTCAATAATCAAATGTTCACAAATCTAAACATACGAAGAATAAACAACAAGTTAGAAAAATAAATAAAATCAAAGTTATGAGAGATGTCTAGATTATTTGTGTCGTGACTAATGAATCTATGGTAATAAACGTTTTGTGTACATATAACAACAAAAGAGAATGGGAAGTGATGTTTACGTGACAACGTAAAGTTGTCTCACTAAATTTTTATATAAATTCTCAAAGTTGGTAACACTGGTGAACTATTATTTGTATTTTCTTGTTTCTCTTCTTTTATCGTTGACTATTTCGAAGTTTATCAATCTTTTTGGCCTAAAGTAGGATAAAAAACAAGAGTCGGAGAAAAAACTAAAAAGTTCTTTTGTTTATTTACACGTTTCAAAACATATATGATGCATAATCTGTACAAAAAGAATATAGTTATCTATTTATTAAAAGTACTTAACATCAGATACACAACATGAATGTAAAAATAAAGAAGAAAAAAATAGAATGTTTTTTTTATCTGACTTTTAACTTGCTCATTTGTTCTAGCTAATCATTTTTTATTAATCTTAAATAACGACGATGAACTTCACGTACTTCATCTTTGACACGTTTTAACAATTTACGACTATATTCTTCATTGACATATTTTTTCATAAATGGTTGTAGATCTGCACCCGGACATGTCTGATGGATGGTTGATTGATCTTCATTTTGAACATATTTCATGATATTTGGATAACGAGTAATATATCGGATATAACTGATTTTTTGTGCTTTATCAACAATAATTTGTAAAACTTTTGCTGTATATTGTGGAGATCCATTATCTTCATTACAGTTTTCATCGGCTACTTTATCTTCATCTTCGCTACTACTACTAATGGAAGGCATATCTTTATCATCACTATTTGTTGTTATTTGTGATGTATCTAGAAGCAGAAAAAGACACAAAATAAAAATAAAAAATATTTGAGAACAAACAAGAAATACATACCTTCTTCGACATCATTTTCATCATCATTCTCTGGATCATAATCCGTAAAACTCTTTTCAAGCTCTGTCAACCTTGATCTTAACTCATTGATTCTTGCACATAACTTTTCAATGTGAAGACGAACTTGATTATCACAATGAATGCAAACAGATTCAGACATCTGAAAAATCAACGACAAAATTACCAGTTTATCATAGCATAAGCGACAATGTTTCTGAAGAATTCTCTATATAATAGTTTGGAGTAACTTCAATCTCTGATTAACTCCTGCATATAAAATCCAATGAATACATGTCTAAACACAATCAACACTTGTCATTATTTTGAATTAAGAGCCAGAAAACTGAAAGAAATAGCAAAATTCCTTTGCCATTTTATTATACATGATTGGATAGAGCGCATCGAGTTGATTCAGAAAATGTGTTTTAATTTTCCAAAAATTTTTTGACATAGAAATATTTTAAAATGCTTGAAGAATGTGAGAATTCAAACGTCCTCTTCGTGTCAAAAAAGTTCAAATTCATCTTTTTCGTTCCTCTATTTTTTTCAAAAAATTGATTTCAGATCCTGTGTCAAAAACTGAGTCTGGAAATGATGCTTGATCGAAACTGAAGTCAAGAATCTGTCCACTACTTGGACTTCCCTTATCAAATGTTGATAAACAATTTTTCAAATCTATCTAGTTGTTTCTGTGAAGAGATGATGTTGAATTTGACAGCTCATTAGAACCGCCCAAACTTCAGTTTTAAAGAATATATTTAATTTTTTTAAAATTTTGTTTCGTTACTGAGAAAATCCATTTTTGCTAAATCAGAGACGAAAAAGCCGGAATTTTGCTCGTAATTCTCTATTTTTTTCATCAGAACCCAACTTTTATGCAATACAAATATCATATTCGAAATCAGCATCGAAAACTGAGTCGAACGATGTACATTTCTATCATATCCGACCACTTTATTTGCTTTTACGAGTTTTCACCTAAAATAATTAGTGTAGGGATTTTCTCAACAAACTGAAAATTAACTAAAAATTTCGAAATATATATCAATCGAGTCAATTTTTCCATGTTGATTTCGAATATGGTATTTGTATTGCATAAAATTTGGATTTTGATGGAGAAAATAGAGAATCATGAGCAAAATTCCGGCTTTTTCGCCTCTGAATTTAACAAAAATGGATTTTCCAAGTAACAAAACGAAATTAAAAAAAACTAAATATATTCTTTAAAGCTGAAGTTAGGATAGTTCTAATGAGCTGTAAAAGTCAACTTCATGTCTTCACAGAAACAACTAGATAGATTTGCAAAATTGTTTACCAAAAGTTGAAAAGTCTGTTCGATCTTGCAAATTTTCTTTTTCTAAACATGTACACAATATCACATAATACAGAGAAAAAACTCATTCCTCTTGCATAACAAGAAAAAATATACTTATTCTTAGCTGAATGTTCACACAGTTAATGATTAAGGGTTAAAAAGATATGCAATAGCAAATCACAAAAATCCAGTCTTACATTGTCCCTTTACTTGGTAACTTCTATTCTTAGTGTCAACTATTTATCCTCATGAAGGATGTCAACTATTTATCCTTGTGTAAAACAAAGTTTATTTCTAGTTTTTAACAGCCCACATACACTCTGATAATAAATGAATGGTATGACTATTTATCATTAGAAACACTGCCTTTTAGTTTTGGTGAGGACTCTGCTGTATGAATGGATATAACAATTGCATTTTGGTTTATCTTCCGCATGTAAGCATCATGGTTGTGCAGTTCTATTTCGCTTATTGTATATCATATTCTTGTACATAATATAAACAAAAGGGTTGTTGTGTCAGTCAGAAAGTTGTCGCGTTCAATTTGATTTGTTTCTTTCTGTAAAAATTGTATTTGTCTACAAAATGACCAACAGGACTAGCAAGCAGCACCAATCAAATGTCATTAGTTTACAACTAACTTCTGGACTAGCAAGCAGCACCAATCCAATGTCATTAGTTTACAACTAACTTCTGCACACAGTATAGTATTTGAATTAGAGCAGCAATTAAATGATGGGTATTGTATAGCTATGACTTCATTCACCCAAGTATAAATAAATAGAGATCTTACGTTTTCCTTGAAAACATTTGAAGAAATCTAAGTCTTTAATGATCATTATTTTTGTTTGTAAAAATGTAGCTGATTATTATTACACTTAGTGATAAAAAGAAAACAAATTGTCATTAGGAAGACAATTATTATGTGTAAAAGAATTGCATGACCAAGTCTAAAGTAGAATGATTCTCATAAACAGATAAATGCGTCTGTTTCTTATAAAGTATAATGAGAAGTTATACTTCGATTTTTACCATTGTAGAAGTATAGAAAGTATTTATACACTTGAAAATCTTAACTTACCATTCGTCCCTTGAAGTGAAGTGTGTCTCGTTTCGCTCTACAGTGTATTTACAACACTTTTCTTGAAACCGTTGTGAATTTTGCAAGCGAAATTTAGTCTCTAATAAACAAAAAATCATTTTGAAGATAGAAAGTAGTATAGCGGCCTGACCACGTAACGGTTTCCTTTTATGTCACAATCCACATACAAAATCTGACAAAAATAAAATCGCCAACTTTTAGAGCATGCTCGACTACCTATTGAATGCTGGTTAGAATTTTTGTGTTGCGTTTCTTTAGTGAGATACTGTAGCAGAAAGTAATGGGTGTCTCCGAGCAAAATCTGTCACTATAGAC